GGATCGGCTGGGTCGAACTCCTTCTGCACTTCGGGTGGGCCGAACATGCCAAGCATGTTCGGCCGACCCGAAGCCAGCCGCAGCAAGCCAATGTATGGCTGATTTCAGTTGGTGTACGGCTGAAATCAGCCATACAAGCCTGAAGTGAATAGTCAAACAGCGTTCGGCTCACTTCACTTCGGGTCGGTTATTCACACGGCTGCTTTAGGCAGCTTTGTGAATAACCCTCATAGTGTTGTTGTGACCCCCCAATTTATAGTTCATCAGAAGACTCTCCATGCATAGGGAAGAGTTGCAGAGGTACATACTGAACACATAACATGTCATAACATTTTAGGAATACTGGAACCGATCTGAAAGTAGTCATGTTGAGCATAACATTTATTATAGCATTTATATTAATATTTATAGTAAAAATGGTCACACAATGACACCTCTGCATTTGTTAAATGTTCAAGTGTATGTAAACCCTAACAACATACTTTATTTGTTCCCTTTTGCGCTGTTAAATTGATCAGTAAAAACATTTTGCTAGATCTGTTTGCCAAATGTAATTAAAAAAAAACCTGCTGATCTTCTCAGAAACCTTGTGAAGCAATAACTTCCCATGCTCACTGCCTGTGTTGCACTCTTATCAGTTACATTGTTCTCAGCTCTCTTTGTGGATTTCAGAACACCTCGCCCTATGTTCTAGAGATAAGAAGAGTAGAGGTATTCTGTAGTCGTAACACACTTTCTATCCCAGGGTGACAACATTGCACCTCCATAGCTAAATTTCAGCGGGTGAGTGTTGTCACTATAGGACAGAAAGTTTGTTACTGGAATAATCTCCAGGTTAAAAAAAGTAAATAACTGAAAACAGAAAAGTAATTTAGCCATTACATCTAATGACTGATAACCTGCACTAGATTGAATTTTTATTTTTGGGCTTAGATATGCTTTTTATCACTTTCACCCCCATATATAAAGGTCCAAGATTTTTAATACAACTGGATTCTCCTATGACCTTTCATTTGTGTCAGTAGCCTTGTATAGATCTTCTAGAGTAGCTATAATGAAGCCTGGCTGCCTAGTACAAATATAATGTCAGTCCTAGTGAACAGAAACTATACCACTTTGTTGCAGCTGCTGCAGAAAGCTGCACCTTTGCTTCACACATGTGAACTGCCCCTCCTGACCACAGAGCGGATAGATGTAGGCACATTATTATTATTATATAGGATTTATAAAGCACCGCCAGTTTGCGCAGTGCTTTACAAAAGAAAGGGAGATGGTACAGTTACAATGCAATTTAATACAGGGGGGTTAGGAGGGTCCTGCAAGTGAGAGCTTACAATCCTAAAATGAGCCTTAATATGGCTCTTATTTGCAGCTGAGAAGCAAGTCAAATTACTGTATCTTATCTTCAGAGTTTGGACCTTACATACCTTGTGATCTTTTCTAGCTTGAGCCACATCGCTTGCTTTCTCTTTGAGTTTTTCCAAAATGACAGTCAACTCTTGTTCAACTTCTGCAGCTTGCTGACTCAGCTCCTGGTACAGCACTTGATTCTGCTGTGCTTCTTTCTGCTTCGTTTGAATCTAGAAGATGGACATTATAAGAAAAGTATAATGTATAGTGTGTATCTTAAAGTAGTTTTTATTCTGTTTATTGTACAAAAATTGTACAGAATTATAAATAGTCCCATTGCATTCGTACAAGGAGTCAATAAAACAATAATTCATAAATAACAAAAAAAAAATCAAATTGCACACATGACAGTGTCCCACATGTTTGTCTGAATATCCATGCTAAGCAAAGAGTATCATAGGGCATAGTCATATCTAAATGGAGATAACAATGAAATGGCAAATAAGTTAATTAGTTAGAATCCAATGTGAGTGTGTAGTTACGCCAAGGGTCCCAAATATTATAGAACTTTGGGCAGTTATGCCTTTATATTTGACTTTCTTGTAGGAGATTAAGGCTTCCTTCACACTTTGTAAATATTCCATTTAAAACCGGCTTCTGTCACCCATTCAAGTTAATGACTTGGTGACAGCAGGTGTATCTGTAAGTAGTACTACGCATGTATGTGATACAGTTACATTCGGTTTTGAACAGATCAGTGGGTGCATTCAGGAACAGTGATATATTTGAAAACTGCTTACAGATGCAGCTGCAGCTGCAGTCACCCAGTGTAAACTTGAACGCATAACAGTGGCCACTTCTAAATGAAATATTTGAGATTCCTTTAATCCAAAATGCATATTCACACATAGTATGAATGAAGCCTAACTGATTTACAAGAAGTTACAGAAATGTAAAGATATGTACATTACACTACAATGAGTGGCCTCTCTTTGCTAACTCCATTCAAAACCTTTTTATTAACAGTCGAACAGCCGGCTCCATGCTGATTGGCTGGCAATCCGGCTTCCCGGCCAATCAGCATCTAGCCGGTTTCCTGGCCAATCAGGGAGGCGGGTCATTACTTGCTGCCCGTCTTCCTGGCCAATGCTGATTGGCTGGGAAGCCGGTCTCCCAGCCAATCACAATAGAGCCAGCCAAACAACATGGAGCTGGCATTCTAGGCAATCAGGAAGCCAGACAGCATGTAATGACATTCCGCCCAGATTCCTGATTGCCCGGGAAGCTGGCTCCATGCAAAGTATCGGTACTCGTACTCAATACTGGAAAAAAACGGTATTGGTGCATCCCTACTTAGAATCTTTGTCAGGTTTCAGCACCCTTTATGTCCCTTATTGGGAAGATTTCCTCTTTACATTCCCCCTTCCTTCCTGATAACAAAGGAAGTGATGGGAAATCTCCCCAACAGTGACAAAGAAAAAAAAGACATTACATACACCACTATTTCTTGTATGAGCACTCTGTTTAAATGTACTCAACACTGTACTGTAGGTGCAATAATAAACTGTATAAAGGAAAAACTAATTTAGATATATCCTATATAGACATAATAGAAGCTAATTACTAGAACCAGACCATGGCAATATCTACTAGGATTTGCAAAGTATATGGGAATGCACCCCAAATGATATAAACATCCACTCGTCAAAATTAAAGTACTTGTTAGTTTGATAAAACCATAGCATATTAAGTACCTCCTCATTTATACTGGCCAGTGCTAATGCCACTTCAGCAAGCAGTAATGAGATTTCAGATGGCAGAATGGCATACATCTCCAAATACTTGTTCTGCTGCTCTTCAGACAATTTCTCCACTTTGCGACGATGAGAATTCAGTTCTTCCTGCAGACCCTGAGAAAGAGGAAAATTAGCATCTTTTATCATGCAACAATCATATTCACTAAAGCTGAGCTCTGGACTGGAAAATAAAGAAATTCTCTTGCGGTGGGGCCCCCTGGTCCCATTGAGCCTCCTCTCTAAAATCACCCCTGCCTTCACCTAAATTGACGTCAATGAGGTCTACAGCCTGGAGACCCACATAGAAGAGAAGAGCACAGGAGCCTGTCAGAGCTGAGGCTCTGGTAAGTATTACAACCTCTTCATCTCCCCCCTAGAATTACCAAGGAGGGTGAGGGTAGGGCCACTGCAAGGGTTTTTTTTTTCCCTCCAAGTCAGAGTTCAGCTTTCAATATTTAAATGTATTTAGCACAGCAAAAGTAGCACCAATATGTAAAAAAGTTTAGTACAGTGAAAGTAGAACAGACTTACGTCTTCGTAGAATTGTCAATATTCGTAAAAGAAAATCACAATCTCATTAATAATTGTAAAATTTACATACTGTATAATGCAATGTGGTAGTCTACATGCATATATACAAGCAAACAATATCTTCCAGGTTATTCACAAAAGGGTGAAGAGTTTGGAGAAGGCATGAAAAGTGAACAATCTAGGTCAACATAGCTGAACTGGAAAGTGAGCTGAATTGGAGAATTTTTCTCTTTTTTTAGGCCTAGATTGTTCCCTTCTCCTGCCTTCCAAACTCTTCACCCTTTAGAAAACCCTGTTAGACATTTAAATACAATACAAAGTTGAACAAACTTGCTCATGGTTTTCTTTCAGAAAACAACAATGCAGACAGACTAAACATTAAGAGAGTCAAACGCTACATCATGTAAAGATCACAAGCGTTTGGAATGTTCAAAAGCAGATAACACTGCTCAGCAAATTTATAACAAAAACTATCTGCTAACATCTATGGAAAACATTACGCTCACCATGCTCTAATAATGTTCTACTTTCAATATGAGTAAACCGGGTAAAACAAATGACAGATAGAATAAGTGATAAGTAAACCAGAGATAATAATCACTGATATGTGAAAAAGCAAGGCTGAAATTAGATGTTTCTGCATCTGACAAAAGGTATGCCTATTAATTCATTTTAGATTTATTGACACTACTAACTTAAAGCTGAATGCCAGCATTACTTTCAGCCTTGCACAGTTAGCTTTGTTTTAGTCTTGCACAGTTGTACAGGCTCCTATACTAAAATGCTTAGGTGTCTGTTTAATAAACTGTGATAAAGCCTGCTTTATCACAATTTGCCTTTTCTCCCCAGATCACGGTGATATTTTATCACCGCTGGAGAAAAGTTTGAGCCTGTTTAAGTGTTTAATTCACCGCGGTGATATACGTTGATAAACAGCAGTAAAATATCACCACAATATGAGGAGAAAAGGCTGGAGAGAGGACTGGGAAAGGCTTTTCTAAGATACACACAGATATTCTTGGGAGAAAACGTATGATCCTGATAGACAGAGTCATAAGGTATTCCTCCCACATACGTGAATTAAAACTAAGAACACATAAAAAGCCCTTTTCCGTTATTTGTATTAAAGAAAGCCCCCTAAACATTAGTGTTATGATAATGAAACTTATGAGAGGTAACTGTTTTTGCACAGTAAAAAAAACATGTTTTCTGGGGTTTTTTTGCAGCGCACTGTTGTACACTGAATTGAATGAAGGAGTTTTTTCTATATTCATTTGCCTTATTCACATGTCCAACGCAGGCTCAACACAAGTGCAAATAGAAAACATTTGTATTCTGGGTGTCCTGTTCACATCATAACACTGCATTGATATGTGATGCATAAAAATTTTGCACAGCACAATGTAACTCACTGCATTCCCCCGCAATGCACTGGGGTGCATAGAATTAAATGAAGTGTGATTTTGTGTCACTTCAATAAAGTTTAAAATAAAAGTAAACAGTGTGATGCGTTGTAACACATCACACCACCCCTACACAGCCCAGACCAGTGCACACACAATTTGCAGGCAATTCTCCTTATGAAGGCACTTAGGAAGTAAACATGAACCAGCACAATAAATCTGTTGCTATATGCACTAGAAATCAGGGATACAACAGTATAAAATACACTGATAATGCGACCAAATGGATACATTTCCCCCAGTTTGCTTAGGAATGGCTACTCTTCCAAGCAAAATACAAGTGGAACAACCTTCTGCTTTAACATTCCTACAGTATAGTACCTGCCAATCCTCGATCTGCATGCCCATTTCTGATGCAGGGTCCAGCATCTTGTCTTGCGTATCCTTGATCCAGGCTTTAACTGCATTCAGCTCTTTCTCCACATCCTCACGTTCCTTCAGTTCTTGCTCTACAAATTTCTTGCTCTTCTTTACTTTCTGTTGCATACTTTAAGAAATCAGGATGAAAGGCAAGCATGAGATATGGTGTATGCACATTTTTGGATTTGATTTTAGAAACAACAAACTGATGATTAAGGTGAAAGTAATTTTTGACCAGCACGGGTTCCAGATTTGTGGATAGGCCACATGGGCTGAAGACTAGAGCAGCTACATTTCAAGTGGCAAGCTGTCTCTTGATTTATTGCTACCTAATTCCTTGTTAGCATACAGGCATAAATCAAAAGAACGTTGGCTATGCAAATCATGTAAAATGTGTCTCTAAAATTTCAGGTTATAGAAAAATTACAATAGGGGCTCATGCTCAAGACACAGAAGCAAGTCATATTGAGTATGCTTTGATGCGCTTTGTAACTGAATTGACTCATGTTTTGCAGTTCAATCTCTTAAGGATTTAATTCAAGCTGCTTCTGAACTGCTTCCAGTTGCTTTTGCATTCACATTGACCTGCGTGGCCTAGAAAATTGTCTCAAATGCAAACAAAAGCCAAAATTGGCCTTAGGCGGAGCACAAATACACGTTACCTCTGCTTGTATGCATGGCACACATATACATATTGCATAAAGCGAACCATGCAGTAAAATGCAACTTAAACTTATATTGTCAGGGCCCCTACCCCTTTAAAAATAACCTAATGTTAGTAGTTCCAAAATGTATTAAAAAAAAATCTAAAAAGATCAAGACTTACCTTTTCAATGGGGTCTATTCACGAAGCAGCCGAAAGATCTAGCCGTAGCTTCGACGGATCCTTCGGCTAGCTTCGGCCCCAGGACCCCTTCGGCTCAGTAGAACCGAAGGGCTGCTGTACGGGCTATTCACTATAGCCCGTACAGCTCCCAAGTCGGCCGAGCGGCTCAGTCGAGCCAAAAGCATGTGCTGAGCCGCGCTGAAAGCAGAAGCTGGCCGAGCTTGCTTCTGACAGCTGGGCGGAGCCAGCCGTGATGTTACGGCTGGCTCCGGCCACTTACAGAGAGATCAGCGTCCCTGGTTACCAGCTAACCAGGGACACTGATCTCCAGATAGCAAACTCTCCCGGGCGCTCCGGGAGTCTCCTGCTCCCGGCCGCCAAGGAGAGAAACACTGCTTTTACTATGTCCAGGATCCGTCTGTGTGTGGTGGCTCTTGATGCACTGACTCCAGCCTCAGTCCACTCCTTGTGAAAGTCCCCAACACTTTTGAATGGCCTTTTCCTGGCAATCCTCTCCAGGCTGCAGTCATCCCTGCTGCTTGTGCACCTTTTTCTTCCACACTTTTCCCTTCCTCATAACTTTCTATTAATGTGCTTTGATACAGCACTTTGGGAACATCCAACTTCTTTTGCAATTACCTTTTGAGGCTTTCCCTCCTTATGGAGGGTGTCGATTATGGTTTTCTGAACAACTGTCAGGTCAGCAGTCTTTCCCATGATTGTGATTCCTACTGAATCAGACTGAGAGACCATTTAAAGGCTCAGGAACCCTTTGCAGGTGTTATGGCTTAATTAGCTGATTAGAGTGGGACACTTTGAGCCTAGAATATTGCACCTTTTCACAATATTCTAATTTTCTGAGATTGTGGATTTGGGGTTTTCATGAGCTGTAAGCCATAATCATCACAATTATGACAATCACGGCTTGAACTATCTTGCTTTGCATGTAATGAGTCTATCTCATATATTAGTTTCACCTTTTAAGTTGCATTAGTGAAATAAATGAACTTTTGCACGATATTCTAATTATTCGAGTTTCACCTGTATATATACACACACACTTTCTCCCCAGATCCCAACCAACAATGATGTCCAAAGAAATGGATAACATTTGAATTTCTTCTACTGCTTGTGCCACCATGTAGCTTTGGATGAGCAGTAAAGCTCTCCTTAAGTAAAATGCATAGGTTCACTTTGAACTATACCACTCTACTAGGTTACAAAAACTTTGCACTGGTGTGATATCATCTTAATCAGCAGACTTTGTTGATTATTTATTAAGGTAAATATATGGGCACGGGCAAATTACAAAAAAGTTGTTTTGGGAAAAATTACAGGAAAATGCATTTTTTTATCATATTTATTATGTATTCCCAATAAAAACCAAGGAAATAAAAATATAAGTATCCAAATGTGTTACTGAAACAAAGCCCAATCTATCTGATGTATGATATTTTAGGGTAGACTACAAACAATATAAGTTATAGTGTGCAGAAGCAAGACATTATTATAAATAAAATGCTCTAGGAATCAAGGGGATTTAAAGACAAAACGGCTTGGGGGACTCAAGTAGCTAAAGATTATAGGAGATTAAAGTGATTGGGTTAACATCTACTTCAAAACTTAAATGACTATGCACTATAGCCACATTTCCCAGTACAGCTTTCTTACTTTGAACATCTGTCAAGCATGGCTTTCATTTCTTGAATGACTGGCAGGTCTTCAAAGGCAGCTGGTTCAGTTGCAGAATCTCGCAGGACACCATTCAGTGCATGTTGTCTAAGATGACTGACTGCAGAGAACTCCTGCTCCAACTCACGAGAAAAGGTTTCATGGTTCTCCAGTAGCTCAACCAGTTCAGCTTTCATAGCCTTTTCTGTGCAGCTCTCTGGTAGGCGTTCCTGAAGCTGATCAATTGCCAAGGTGGATTCCTGTATCTGAAAATACAAAAAACAGACTGCTTAAGCATCTGGTTTCCCTACACCACTCTCTCTGAAGGCACCTATATCAAAACGCATACTATCCTCAAAAGTATAAGTAAATATCATACAAATAATTAGGTTGCTGATGGGGAGCAATCAAAACTATTTTTAGAATTTTCTCATTTGACACAAGACAGGTTATAATGTATGTATAGTAGTGATGCCTAATGACTCTGCTTTATTCTTACTCTTACTGACACTGTTACTCTACACACCTGACTTAAACTATAAACTTAAACTGCCTTCATTGCCCACCCCACATAACAGGAGTCTGACAATTGGCCATTCAGGCCTAAATACTGTCACATGTGGGGGTGATCTGGAAGCCCCACTCTATTAGATCAACAGAGTGAGGGCTTCAGCAGAGCAGGAAATCGGGATGGATTGCATATAGGTGAGTATAGCTTGCTGCTGGAGTGGGTTATGAAGGGGAAAAGTGACACTCTGTTTAACCCAATACAGCCTTTTTGAGTCTAACAACATTTAGGGGTCTATTCACTAAGCTGCCGTAGGCAGCCGAGTGACTAACCTACCCGAAGCGAAGTGAGCCGAACGTTGTTCGGCCATTCACTTCAGGCTGGTACAGCTGAATCCAGCCGTATATCTGCTGAAATCAGCCGTACATCGGGTGGCTTCGTGTGGCTTCAGGTCGGCCGAACATGCTCAGCATGTTTGGCCGACCTGAAGTGCAGAAGGAGGTCGACCCAGCCGATCCAACATCTTTATCGGCTAAGCCGAACCTCCGGCAGGCTACTCGCTGCTGTTCAGCCTATTCTCATTCGGCATTGGGCTCGGCTGTTCTGCTCGGTACCTCTGTGGTACCGAACAGAATAGAAAAACAGTTTAAAAAGTAGTACAAAAAAATAGAAAACGATTGTGCGGAGCTAGCAGTGATAGCTAGCTCCGCCCAACTGTTTTCTATTGGCCTGGCTGTTCTGCTAAAAAAAAAAAAAAGGATCACCATAGGAATGCATAGCTAGATTCCTATTGGCTATTTCACTTTGCAATAGCCAATAGCAAACTAGCTATTGCACCCGCCCTGTGCTGCTGTTAATCACCAGAGGGGGACAATATTACACACTGAGAACACGGAGAGGCCGCTCTCAGTGTGCAATGACAGCATCCCTGGTTAGCTGGTAACCAGGGACGCTGATCTCTCTGAAAGTGGCCGGAGCCAGCCGTGAGATGACAGCTGGCTCCGCCCAGCTGTCAGAAGCAGGCTGTCGGCCTGCTTCTGAATAGCCTGTACAGGAGCCCTTCGGTTCTACTGAACCAAAGTGGTCCTGTGGCTGAAGCTAGCCGAAGCTACGGCTAGATCCTCCGGCAGCTTAGTGAATAGACCCCTTCATTTCAGCATTCCTGATATACAGATGATCACTTGAGGAATCATTTACAAAATATATGAACTAACTCTCAAAATATGGAACAACTATGAAGTAAAAAAGGGAACATTTAAAAGATTACTTTTAGGTAAATGCTACAATAATAGCTCATATACAGTATGTACTTGCTAAAAACAGTTTCACTCTGAAGTAATTTTTGCTTATAAAAAGCATGGTTACACAGCTGCCATACCAAGAATTGTTACCTTATTACTGAGCTCTTTCCACTCTTGTAAAGCCTCCTCCAGTATCCTTTCCTGTTCACGTGCTGTACTGCGGAGCCTGGTCCATCTCTGCCACACTGTTGTCATTGACTTGCTGATAGTTGCTTTGCTGGCGTTATCCCCAAGTTTTTCCATTGCTGATGCCTTCTCCTCAAGAGCTGTGATTTTCTCATGAAAGGAATTCACCAGTGTTACCAAAGTCTACAAAGTAAATAACAAGTGCAGGTCATTATTGGTGGCTTCACATTGAAATAAAGCATGTTAAATCACAATCTTCCCACATTCTTTTTAAGGTGCAACATTTCTTTGTTTGAGATTGTGCTCCTTACATTCACTACAGGTTCTTATAGATCACTTTTTGCCAGGCAGCTACCATTTGGACAGTGGCAGACATTCCTGACAGATTGTCCCAGGGAAGATAATCTCCTAGACTGGATTTTTCTGTCCAGCAGTTTTTGTTGGGGTGTGTGGACATTCCTAATCCCTTTCCCATAAGCATCAGTATGTTTGTGTTAATATATTAAAGGAGAACTATGACATGAGTGATTTCCACTCATGTCATAGTTCTAAGCCGACCTGTGACAATGAGACTGTCACAGGTCGGCTCAGTAGATCGGGAGGTGAGGGAAAACATACCGGGTTCCCTCACCTCTCGATCCTGTCACGGCTCTCTGCCGTGACAGGGGGAGGGGCTGGATTCCCCTCTCCCCGCTCCGATCTGCCAGCGCTGACTGGCGGAACGGACGGGGAGGGGGCGGGTACAGCTGGCTCTGCCTCTAGGTAGGCAGAGCCAGCTGTCACTCACGCAGCTGGGCGGATCCCGTCATCTAAGTCGGGATCCGCTCCAGGTGCGGCGTCTCAGTATACCGCGAGCTGTAGCTCGCGGTATACTGAGCTTAGGGTGACGGGAGGACGCTAGTTTGTGTCCTCCCATTACCCCAAGGAGGACTATGGGGAAAAACACTGACCCCATAGTTCTCCTTTAAATTAAAAGTGTTCAGGTTCATGGTATCTACACTATTCGATTTTGCTTTTACAAATCCTCACATTACTTGTCTTACCAGGGGAAAATATGTGGCCAGTACTGCTGCATAGGAGTCCAAAAGGACATGGGAGATACCAGTGGCCAAGCAATAAAACAGCAGGTATGCCCTTCTTTCTGCTTCCCATTATCTTGCCCCTCCTGCAAAACCCCTCCTGCAAAACCAAACCCCACTAAATAATCTTTTGTTAAAGGTCATTATAGACTCCAGGAACCAAGAGTAAACCAAAAGCATTTACGCCACTTACCTTGTGAGCCAGAAGCTTCTCCTCTGTTTTGTGACATGAAGCATCTTTAGCCACAGAAAACTTAGACAACTTCTTCTCAGCCTCATTCAGAGATATAATAACCTGGTGTCTTTCCTCCTGGTATAAATTCCACTGGACAGTGCATCTATGATCAACAAATTCAGATGTGAAGTGCATTGTAATATCATAAAGTTAAATGAAGCCTTTAAAATTTATATTAAAAAGTTAACTTTTTTCCAATCACAGAACACTAATCAGATTCCACTTGTTTTTGGTACGTGTGGTGGCCCTTGCTACGTAGGTTTGTCCATCCCAGTATTTAAAGAGTCAGCTCACTTAAGAGACCAGTGGTGACACGAGATGAGAAAATTTGTACTACAGGGCAACAATGGGTACCTCCCCTTTGTGGACTCTTGCTCCTTCTGCTGTAGCCCCATAATGTAAATAACATGAAACAACCAACAAAAAGGATGAGTCATCATACTCTACTGACTGTAATAAACAAGTTTGAGTCTAACAGATCTCCCCTTCTCTCTGCTTCAAGCTATACATATCAGTGCCATGTGAGTTCTCCAGATATTCCTATTGGGAGATATACTACAGGGCCCATGAAATGGAAAAGTCACACAGGGGAGTGGAACTGCAGATGAACCTATCCAACCCCAGCTGCAGGTGAAGAATGATCTCCTATATTATTTGGCCATGTAAAACACTGAAGACCCATATTTTACTTCAAAATCTATTTGTGTCATCTATAACAAGGGAAACTTGGTTCGGTAAAAGTTGCAGTTTAACTCAAATGTGTTGTTTTAGGAGTTGCACCGCCATTTTATGCTTAAAGCGCAAAACAATGCAAAAAAAACATCCCATTTATATACAAGCAGAATAGCTATAGTACCTTCTCAGCAAATCTAACTGAGCTTGGGCTTGCTCCTTGGTTTCCTTTCCTTTCTTTTTCAGTGAAGCTACAGCTTGTTTGAAATGATCTTGTCCAGATTTCTGCACACAAAGTTCAAGCTCAGACACCAGAGTGCGCAGTTCATCTAAAAGTCCATTGAATTTGCTTTCTGTGCTAAAGAACTCTGTATAGACTTTAAGACTTTCTTCAGCTATTTCAATATCCACACCATTTTCATTTTGCTGGAGTAGTTCCTGCGCTTCTTCAAGCCAGTCAAAAGCAGACTGCACTGCTTGGTGGTACCGGTGACTTGCAATATACATCTTGTCAAGAGTCATCTAAAAACAAAATAAACACAGAAAAGATTTAACAATTTATCAATGTACTATGTACAAACTGTACTTTTATTTCCCTAAATATAGCGCAGGAAATACAATTATTATTTTTACCATTATTGTCATCCATTCAACACCCTTGACCCTTTAGTAATAGATCCCTCTAATCCATCTTTCCTTTTATTAGAAAAGACGTGATCTAAATGTTCAATAAATGGTGTGAAATGTTGCCCTCAACAAAATCAAATAAATGTGATTGATATCAGAAAAATTACCAGTGTGTGTTGCTCCACTATATCTTTATTTTGCTTCTAGTAAATCAGACCTTAATGTGCAGAACAGTTAATTAAACACTGCCTTCTAGCTGGCGGGGCCTAAAGATTTTAAAATGTGCTTCCACTAAGTGCTGGGACTTAAATTTCCACAACACCTATAGGCAGTGGCAAAGCCTGTTACATAGTCATAGGTCATGTGCATTACATTAGCTGGCCATGTGCAAGGTTGTACAGAACATTTTGGTGTTTATTTTGTCATTGCCCAGCCTATAATATTGTGATTGTGTAAATAAGTTGATTTGAGATAACTGTACTTTATCTGATGAGGAGGAAAATATTGTGTGATCAGTGACTGTACAGGTAAAAGCCACCTATTTGCCTGTGCTGCCTATAGCCTATTGTGCGTAATGGTAACTCAACGCTTTCTAGCAATTTTTAACCAATAAATGGTTTAGTTTTTAGGGTACAGTATAAAAATTAATGTACAAAAACATCAGATGTAGAAGCAAATCAAATGCAGCATGCCTTCATGTGCTTCTGAGTTGCTGACGTATTTCTAAATTGCTTCAGTTTGCCTTTCCACTGCTCAAGGAATTGCTTAGAGCTGCTTTAACCAGTTGACATCCGCGGTGTTAAACCCCCTTCCCATTCAGGCAATTTTTCAGTATTCAGCGCTGCGGTACTTTGACATTTATTCCGTCATGCAGCGCTGTACTGAAATGAATTTTATACCATTTTTTGGGGACAGATAGAGCTTTCTTTTGGTGGTATTTAATCACCACTGGGGTTTTTATTTTTTACTATATTAAGGAAAAATTACCGAAATTAAAAAAAAAAAAA